ATATGTATAGATGTATATTTCAAATATAATTATGTCTATTTATACAATCAATTGAAATATTTATGAAAATAATGAGAGTTTATTTATTATGATTTGAATATTTATGGAATATGATAGAGTTCATTCCTATGATTTTATATTGGAATCTGTTTATGTTTCTATTGTTTTATGTATTTGTATATTTGATTGTATTGTGATATTATCTGTTTCAAATTCTTTTTTCAACCAAGAATGAAAGATTCCAATGGTTTTGAATGTTATCATTCTAGTTTCCAGTTTTACCCTTACACATCAAAATATTTTTGAAATTTTTTGATACTAAATTTAATTTAAAAATTCCTTAACTTCTGTTAATTTGTGATTTAAACCACAATGCTTGGTTTATAGATCATTTTTTCGTTCTCGTAAATCATAGGGGTTTTGTTTGAACCCTTATATTTATTATGTGTGTGTGTGTATGGTTGGATTCATGTGAGACCACGTTTTTGTACTTGAAACTTCACAGCAAAATATTGTAAAGGTAAATAAAATATGAACCTTCACAACAAAAAACTGTGAAAGTTATAATCTTCACAATGTTTTGTTGTAAAGTTAAATGTAAAAAGATGGTCTCATGAAAACGTTTGGTCTCACATGAACCCAAGTTTTTATATATATATATATATATATATATATATATATATATATATATATATATATATATAGGAGTGATCATATGAAAACCACCCTCATTTATGTAAACCGTGCAAACCTCATTCATCTGTCGATTTTATTGTTTAATCTTATGAAATTTTTTCATGAAATTGTTTCATATAATACTTTTTTGATGAAGTTGTTTCATATATGGTTGTGAAATTGTTTCATATAATACTTAATGAAACTGTTTCATGTATTTCTCTAACATTAATGAAACTGTTTCATGTATTTCTCTAACATTAATGAAACTGTTTCATGTATTTCTCTAACATTAATGAAACAGTTTCATGTATTTCTCTAAAACTAAAATAATGAAGATGATAATATCTATGATTAACACCCTCCACAATAAAAATGATTAATCAACCTCTCATAATTACAAAAAAATGAACAAAATGAAAAATTATGATTGTTTGAATGCGGTTTGCACGGTTTGTACAAATTGAGTGATTTGCATTTGATCGCTCCCCTATATATATAGATATATATACACCAAAATTATTTTACAAACCAGTGAAATGTATATATTATCTGCTATAAAGTAATTATTATATTTCTTTTAGGATACATACAAAATCATTAAACTAATTTATTACAAAATAATAATTAAACAGTCACATTGGTGTGTTTAAAGGTAGGTTTCGTATGAGACCGGTTGAGATTGTTGTTAATCAATTTTTGTCCAAATAATTATACTGGATTAAAAAACTCATTCTAAACTTTTTTACTTTGCCTTTTTACAACCACAACTACTTATTTCCAGTGTTCAAAAACACGCGTCATGATGCGATATGACGCAAGACATGTCTCGTCGTTACAAGATGACTCATAGCATTTCTGTAATGTGTAACTCATGCCATAGCCCCTTGAGGCATGCTGCGGCGCTCGTTTTTTTTAAGACGTGATTTTTTTTTCAAATTCTTTTTATCTTTTGTATTTTTACATTTTTAACTTTAATTTTTTTAAATATATATCTAATTACATCACTCACAATTTCACGAATTTATAAATGTTATGGACTCATGACTAAAACGAAGTTGTAAAATTATTTTTATAAGTTCTATTT